TCAGTCATTCATAATACTGCTTCCTAACACAATAGCAGCTATACATCATATTGAATAAGTTGCATGAGTATTGTATGCCACTTCCCTTTGGTTTTTTCTGGTGATGTTTTTGTACTCTGCAAAGTTAGAGGCTGAAACACAAACAGAACACTTGCAGTGGGGATTTTAGCTGTGTCTCCAGACGGTCGTCGTATGTATATGAGTTTGACTGTGTTCCGCACTGTCCTGGCTTCACAGAGCACATGGCCTCTATGGAGGTGTGTCAGGGGCCTCTCTGCTCCTTTTTCCAGGAGCTCCAGGAGGAAATGTATCCCCTATCTAAATGATGTGGCTGTCATGATTGTTGGCCAGCTGCCCTGGTCTCTTTCTCTCCCTCTCTCGTCCATTGGATCTACTGCTAGTTTTTAATTAGCTGTCACATTCTCCAGACCTTTTCCACAACAAATAAGAGTCGAGCTCAGGCACCAGACCACTCCGTATGAGGTCTTGGTCAAGGAAAGGTGCTGGGTTGGTGTGTGTTTGCGTGAATTCTTTGCTCAACAACAATGTGAGAATATACAAAACCAATCATTGCCATATTTTCACATTAATTAGTTGATGAGCCATTGTCATCAAGAACCTCAATGCACTCTTGTTTGGTCTAAGACAAGAAGAATTCTAATTGGCGTAGACAATTAAAGATTACAGAAAAGTTGAACCAGTTTTTGTCAAACATTATCATAAAGTCTTGCCCTGGAGATATAGGTATTGATAGACAGATTGGCTGAAAGCCTTGGCAGACCTTTCATATTGTATTGCCAATTTGTTCTTCATATTTCTGAATAAAATTATGTATTTTAGTAGTTCAACCACCACAGAAGATTGTCTGAGAGAAGTTCTTAAGGATGTTAGATCTATGATGAAAGACTTTTCTGCTCTTTGTGTAAACTTAGTAACCACTAATAGCAATGTTGACTGGATGCTGTCACTTTCAATATCTGCTCCTCGATGACACTCGGTTGAATCTAGTTTTGCTTGGCGTAAACTTGAGTTAGCAGGATCCAGAGTTGCACCCTCAACAGACTGATGGATAATGGTACTGTCATCTGCAGGGTTGTTCATAAACCACAGCACAATGTCCAGGACCTGATGCCATCATGCCAGGGCTAAAGCCAACACTTTGTTAAGTGACCTGCTGTAACAGAAGAAAAAGCAAATCTCAACTTTTCTCCTTCTGGTTCTTGAGTAAACATATCATTTCACAGCTATTCCAGTTGCAACCCTGTACGACTGCCTGTAATCCCCCCCTTCTCGTTTCCCTAACTTGGTCTAATCTACCAGGCCATGAAGCCTTGACAAGGTGTTCTGGATCAGACCAAGAGATCGGACTCCGGTGGATTAACGTAGGCCTGATACCGGATCCGCTCTGGTGGGTAGATATAGAAACAGCAGTGGGAGAAAGATCGTCGACCCAAACCAGTCCGACCTGAAGTTTTCTGGGGAAGTGGACATTTACCAGAGGCCTTGAGCCTCCTTGCAGGACTCAGAAACAGAAACATTATCCAGCCCTGTGATCTCCAGACCTCTCTTTCTCCTTCCATCAGCACACTTCTCCATCTATCAAGCTTTCACTCTCCTGCACGCTCACTCCCTCTTTCTGTGCCAGACTTTGCTTGCTCTAGTGTGTCTGGATTAGTGTTTGTAAGGCATGCGTTCTTCCTCGGCTATACCTTTACGTTGACAATAAAGCTTCAGAACATCATTGTTCTAACTTTTGCATGCGCTTTGATCTTGAAGAGAACATAAATACTGTTTGAATTGCTGAATTTTATTGCTAAAGGTTTCTTGAAAGGTCTCCAAGGGGTCTGACCCTTAACCTTAACAGTGATCCCTTAGCAGTGGTAGGAGCTCTTGTCTGAAATAGATGGATGTTATGTTTTTGTTTCCGTTCATCATTGTTGGATTTTTTTCATTTCAATTCTTCCCAGTGTTAGTGTTTTTCTTCATATATTTTTCCTGTGTGTTGCAGTGTATATTCTAAGCCCGCAGGGTATTTCTGGAAGCAAACAGAACTTAGTCTGAGGCCTCTGTGGAGACGGTACATACACTGCTCCTTTTGTAGCATTTTTTTAAGCTTTCAGTGAAGGTGCACATTCATTCATCTTTTCTCAGCCTCTACTTCAGGGAGCTTTCCTCCCTAAGTTTTAAGCATTTTGATCTCGACTTCTGTGCCTTATTTTACATAGAAGTACCACTATATTTCTCATCGGAGAAGTTTCAGAATCCCACTCTTTGATTCAGTTGTGTGTCCAGCAGTAGCACTCTGGTTTGAGCTAAGCCCTCCCTGGCTGCAGCACACTGTCTCTTACTGTTTTGTTTTTTATTCCACCAGGCCACTTCTCCTGTTTGCCAGGAGCACTGCTGCCTCACCAATGGGACAGAGACTGCGCTATGCAAAAAGCGGGGTAATGACTTTAAAATACATTACTGCGTCATGGACAGGCACTTGGAAAGTGTCCTGAACTGTAAATAAAAGCATTTCAATCTCGCATTTGCTCACAGAGCAGAGGAGAAATTCCACAGTAACTAAGTAAGCCGAGGTGGTGGAGCAACAACTACCTAAGCAGATGTCACTAGGACTGTGGTATGTTGGAGCGCTGAAGACACTGGCAACCTCTCTCATTTATTTCATCTGTTTTCTTACAAAGATGATCAGGACAGAAGAAGTAACCGGAGCTGCCTGCCTGTCCTTTTACGGCCCTCTACTGTAGAAGAACAGACAGAGTCAAAGCACAGGGTGGAGTTGTTGGGACTCCATGAACAGTAGAGAGTAGCTGTTCAAATATGACGTGGCTATGTGAAATTAAACAGATGAGGATGAAAATTTCCAGGAATTGCCCTAGAGTGGCAGTCTTGTATTTGATGCCATAAAACATGGAACACACTGACAGCAGTTCAACTCAGTACCATTTAAACAGTGGAGTCAGACTTGTGTTAGTACCACTCCCTAATAGCACGCTAATTTTTACCTCCGCCCCTGGCCTTATCACTATTTGTGCAAGTTCTTGCATCTCTCCAGTAAACAGCAGAGGCCTTCATAATACGTACTGTATCACTTGTTCTTTCCAGCACAATTTGTCGGTCTTGTTCTGGGGTCTTGAAGTCTCAGCTTTTTGCGCTCTACAGCTGAGCTGAGCAACCATCTGCCTCCCTCAGGCCTTCAACAGATTACCTCCACGACACGCCTAATGCACCATGTTTTATAGCCGAGTAATGTCGGCTTTACACAGGGATTTGAACCTCTAAGCTGACCTTGAAACATGGCTGCTCTGTTGGCTAAGACACAGTCCTAACAGGTCATGATTTATCACTGGGGAAGCTGTGTGGATAAGTCAAGCCGAAATGGCTGTACCTGTTTAAGGCCAACAGTTTAGCTGGAGTTTTGATGGGTAGAGAGGGGCATACATATGCAAAGATTTTTAACACATAGTTCTGTTGCATTTTTCTGAGCAAAAAGTCATAAAAGTGCCATTGGAATGCTGACTTTAGTGTCTTTGTATTGTGGGCTTCTTTCTTTTTTTTTCTCTCTCTGCTGGTTATCAAAGACAGATGACAACTTGAAAAGATTCAAATGAACTCATCTACACATGTTGCATGTTTTTTTGCTTATCAGAAATTTTCAAATTTCCAACCTAGGGCCAAATAACTGAAAAACATTTCCGAAGGGAATGTCATTAGCAGGGACAGATCTCATCCTGTGATTGTGTCATCTCACAACATTCACCTCTCTCCGACAGCCATTCTCAGTATCTGCGGCGGTGCAACTGATGTCTAGTTAAAAAACATGGTTTGTGTAGGAGGAAGAAATATTATGTCTAACAATTCTAAAACAGATGTTTTAATTGCACACAGCATCTGTAGCTGCTCACAATGTGACAGCAAACAAACTGCTTTTCTTGTCGCAAATTGACACTTCTCCATCTGTGTGTGGGTGTGCACCCACGTGTGGATTTGGCCGTACAGACACCAAGTTGGCCAAGAGACTCCTCTGTCTCTCTCTCCCCAGCCAGAGGCCCCTCTGTTCCACCATTGTGCTAGAATGCTTTCTGAGACATCCAGCTGGAGGCTTCAGTAACGGGGCCCAGCTATCAGTCAGACCCATGGCCTAGCTTCCCCTCACCATGCTGGGCTGAGGAGAGACTCAAGAGTGGCTGTTGGGAGGATCGTCGTCACTGTCTGTTCTCTGATGGGACCTGACAGCAGCCTGTAGCCTGTCAACACATTCCTGCACAGCTGCTCTTAAATCACAAATGGGATGGCTGTAGTGATTTTTGCGTGTGTGCCTGTGTGTGTGTGTGTAGGCTGGAGCACAAGTGCGGAACTGTGTGTTTAACTGCATGAGCGTGGGTGCGAGCGTGTGGCCGTGTGTACACGTATCAGTTTTTGAGTGATGAAGTGTTTTTGTGTGTGCAAATGAGTAAATGTTAACACACGAGTCAGGCCTACTTTCCATTTTAGTAATTCTCCAGAGATACAGCTCTGTCTCTCAACATTGTGCAGTTGCAGCATTGGGGCTGATAAGGAAATGTTTAGCCAATTTAACCAGACTGTTGAAATGATTTGGAATCCTCACCAGGCCGCTAGGGCATATCAAATGCATGGTGGAAAACTGGATTGTTTGTACAGTGGATAAGCGAGCTGAAATACTTAGAAGCAGTCTGTTGTGCTCAGTCAAGGGGAGTCTTGTGTGAAAGAGCTGTGTGTGTGCTCCTGGTGTTTAAAAGTGTGATTGCTTGTCGTTTTGATCTACTGTGAGTGTGTGCAAGTACATGATGGTGTGAATGGAAGCTGTACATGTTTTCATACATGTGTGCTTGTAGCGGTGCACATGGGTTGTTGTGTGTACACTTTGCTCACACGTGTGTGTATTTGCTCAGGGAGGCCTAGCCGTGGCCTCTGCAGCCCAACATTGACCTCCTTCCTCTCTCTCGCTTACTAATGAACACAATCTGTCCTTTCAGATCCATGAACGGCTGCAGCACTACGAAGAGAGCAAACCCGTCCCTGTCCTGGACAGCGCTGCAGCTCTGGCCAATGAAGTAAGTTATTTTTTTGAGGAAGGCTTCCATTTATGTGGTCGTAAATACAGATGGGTGACAAATGAAAGGAAAAAGCAACATAACATGTCTTAATATGTAATGTATACTAATATATGGTGTTCCCTCATTTGGTGTTTTGATGGTGATGCTAGAGAGCACTCTCCAACATGATGGTTAAAAACCTCCTCTAGCGGTTGATTTATGTGTTGTGCTGCTATTACTGCGGTGGCAAAGTGAACACATTTACACTGACAGTGGAAGCAGAGTGGTTTGGGTTACCGATCACAGTAAGCAGTCGCACCCTCCGACAGATGAAGGTAGTGGAAGTTATTCAGTACTCAGCAGTATTCAGCACTATTCTGAAACTGGTTATGACACAGGCTTTGGGGAAAAATATAACACTAAAGAACTGCTTCTGTCTGACTTCCACAGTCTGGATGTGACATTGCTGTGTCGAGCAGCTAATTAAACCCAGCAGGAATCAGTTATGATTTAGACTCAAATTCCAGGATTCCTTGCTTCACAGTATTATCCTAATTATCCCTAAAATATGCTGAATACCCTTAAAATGGCACTAAAACATCCTGGAATCACTTTACATAACACTTTGTTAGGAAACAAGCATTTTTATTGCATTACGACACATCATCTCCCTGTTGTTCTTTAGTTTGGAATCCATGGTATTTCCACACATCCGGCACAAGCCATGGTGACAGGCTTAGAATTTTGGAATGACGGAGGAAAGATGCAGCCCTTCCCCGGTACACTAGCAAGCCAGCAAGCTTTTTTTTAAGTCAAAACATTGACGCATGATATTTATGGTTATCCCAACTATGAATGTTCACGATAAATTGAATTTTAAATGTATCACAATGCGCAATGATATCATATATCGTCCTATCCCTACTAGCAAGACATATGCAGGGAGGGGACTCACTATCAGACCTGTGTAACGAGATCTTCTTTAGAGATCCGTTCTTTGGCGACAAGCTCGTAAAGCCAGTGAGACACAAGTCATCTGGTCTTGTGTAAAACTGGACAAAATTTTGTTGAAAGGTTTTTTGTAGATGTTATGGCATTTGATGATGGACAAATGTTTTGGTGAAAGTACTAAAATAGTTAAATTTGCTTAGTGTTAAACACAGGTTTACAAGATCAGTGCCACTGCACTAATAGCGGCTTGTGTACTTCCACCTATAACCCTGGTTTGTCTGTAGGCTTTCAGTTGGGTTGAGTTCCAGTAACTGTGAAAGCCGCAGTGTGTGATTAACATAGTGTTCAAACTCATCAAAACCATTCCGTGAGTGCTCGTGTCCTGTATGGAGGACTCTGCATTTGTTATGTTTCCCTGCTCATTTATCTGGGGTTTTCCTTCAATTTGTCACCTGCCTACACACACATTATGTCTTGCATGCGCTGTCTTTCTGTTTGACTTTGAAAACCAAACAAACATGATTTGCTTATACTCAAATCCAGAGAGACTTAGTGTAAGCAGGTAGGTAGTTTGTCTCGATCATCAGCATTACAGCCTTACGATATTATGCAGATCAAACTGTAAAACTTCAGACCACAAGTGCCAAGTCCCTGTAGCGCACACACACCCTCAGTCACACATACTTACACTTAGCACCCTTCCCATGAGCGTGCAGAAGCCGTGGCAATGTTTGTCCTCTTTCACCTCCTACTCTGAACTCTGAACTGTCCCCTTCTCGGTTTTGGTTTTCTACACTCCCTCTCTGTTACAATAACACTACACTGTCCCTACTCTACACCCACCGCCTACCCTCCTCCCGCCCACTCTCTGCCCAAACGTCTAGCCATGCACCACGAAATCGAAAATCCAGTTCTGCAAAAACACACCGATCATTTTCCTAGGGCAGAAACCGGATAGAAAGGCCACTCATTCTGAGGAAAGCTTAAGATGGATGGGCACGTTATGACAAATGATGGCAACTACAGATGATTGTGGATAGAATGAGTTGCGTCATATAAACAGAAGTCAGTGGAAGAGAGAACACATTCAATATTCAGATTGAGAGAGAGGAAGCATTGATCACCTATGGCGTGCATTCCCTCCTCATTAGTTAACCTGTTAATGAGAAGTCATCACACACAATAATAGTACCAACAGGACCGCTGGTGATGATTTTCTTCCATTGGCTCTGCTGCTCTCGTCAAGCTGCGAAAGATATTTAGTCTGATTTATTGAGTAAATGTCCAGTGTCCTGACATTTGTTACTGCATTGTTCATCTGCAATATTTATTGAAAGCCACGTGTGCACATAAGCCTGCAAGAATCCCGCTCATATCCACATGTGTGCATACACCCACACACCTGTGTAAACCCAAGGACCAGCCTGGCATGGTGAACGGAGAGGAGGAAAAGCCCTTTTACTGGTGTGTGGTTTTGTTTGAAATCCCTAGCTCTGTTTATTGTAATCAAAGTGCCTCCGACTATTCCTCCCCTTCTAGAGAGCCCACAGCCATACATCATCCTAATTAGTACTGAGTCAAGGGAAAGACGAGAGAAAGAGGGGCTGAAATTTTTACAGTCGGTTGGGGTAAAGACCGAAAGAGGAGAGAGTCCACAGTGTCCTGAGACTGTCACGAAATAGAGGCCGTCTTGTGGTCTAGAGTGGTTTTCCTGACCTTACAGGCCACAAGTGTCGGTAAAGGAGCCAAAACGTTCCATCCTGGAAGCTTCACATTTACCAGTACAGATGACCGGAGTCCCCAAACCATACAGGACCCTTAACCAAACCAGGATGGCTGAGCCTGAATCTGGAGGGACAGTATTCTCAAATAGAAATTTTATTGCTCCTTTTCTGTCTGTGTGTTTGTCCTACCCTGCTGTTAGCCCTGGCAGAGGACACCACGAACCAGATAACACCAAAACAAGAATTCCACCAGATTCAAGCAGCCAACGGAGCGGGAAGGATTGCTTCTGTTTCTCTTTCCTAAGTCTTTGCTCTGCCTCCCCCAGATGTGGAAAGAGGCCATAGAACCCCAACTATCAGCCTCCATCTTCCCTCCCCCTTACAGATTTTTTTTCTCATTCTTTTTGTCAAATTACAGACTTTCAAATTTATGCTTCCTGGTAAATGCCCCACAAAGTGTCTCCCCGGGATTATCAGGTATCGGAATAAAGCCCAGAGATGGTGTATCAAAGCGTCTCTCAGCACACCGCAATCCTGAGTCCCCCTTCCTTGGCCAGTCAAAAAAAAAAAAAAGAAAAACTCCTAACCCGGAGCGTTGCACTGTATTTTTAAAGCGGATTGTTTTTCACCCGTGTCACCGCTCCAAATGGATGCTATTGAAGTGGTGGCTGAGGACCGAAGTGCAACAGGAGAGATCTAAAGTTAGATGAAATTCATTTCGGGCTTGGGTTTCTGGTAATGGAGGCTTAATTTATTGCCTAACATAAAATGACACTTCAACCCCCGTCTGCCCCCGGCTGCACTGTCTAGCACACACAGCAGGTGACTGCCACTGCTCAAACAAACTAGCATGGCCAACGCCGCCTGAAACACGATCGATACTGGGCCCAGGGAGTAGGTACTGTATTACATACGTATAAAGACATGCCGGTGGGTGACTGCACACACACTTTTATGGATGTACATACACGTTTATTACTGCACACACGGTCTCTCTCCAGCCCTCATTAAGACTGAAATAGAAGCACTCTTGCCTCATTGTGGAATGTGAAATACCACATTACATTAATCAAAAGGGGCAAATCAGCCTCACACGTGAACCCGCTCGATGTAAGTTCCAGTCCGTTGATCCAATCAGTCTCTATCAGTGCCTTCAAAAGCTAAACACGCCACTTCAACAGTGAGCTGAGCGCCAGCCCCTTGTTCCAGAGCAGTGTCCATCGTATGAACTGAGACTGTATGTCCTGGTGGCTGACTTGTATCCTTCTCCTCTCCAAAGGCACCTTTTCCTTCTCTGGCCAACTTCCCAACATCTTTATAAGCACCCAAAAACCTGCTGTTACTTGGAAAGCCCACTGGGTGCCATCAGAGAGCACTGGTCTGCAATCCATAATCGGAAAGAGCCAGACAAACAGAGGGGGGGGGGGTGTCATCAGTGTCAGGTGGCTCTTCAGTGTCTACAAACATTTGGTAAAGATAGAAATGTCAATTCAGACCAAGGACCATCAGAATATAACACAGTGACTGTAAGATAGATATTTAACCAAAGTGTAAATGAGTATAAAATGATGAATTTCAGGGCTGATAATGAAACCAATAATTGCCTTTTGTTGTGGCTGACACTGATTTAACTGATAATATTACTCTTGTAGTTATGAATAGGACAGTGAAGGCTTGCCTTGTTAGATTTTACATAACATTTACTATCTTCTTCTCAAAGTGCTAACAGACAGCAATGCTGTTCATATAAATTCATCTATACCTGCCTGTGACTATTATACTTGCAGTGAACTCCACAGCCAATATCAGATAAGGCTCCACATTATTGGATGTAATTATCAGCTGACACTCCTTTATTGGAACAATAATAATAATTTAACTTTCTCATATTTTGGAGGACAGTTCAGCCACTGATTTATGATGATTAGCATGCAAGCATTTTACCTTGTTGATCAAATCTAGACTCTGTTTGCACCTTTTGTTTCTAATTGTTTAACTTCATTTTATATGTTTCCATCATATACTTTAATACATATACCCTTTGACTTTATGTTTGAGAAAGCTCGAGCTGTAAATAAGTATGCCTGCAAGTTATTATTGCTGGTTAAAATAGTTGCGCAATTGTATCTTAAACAGCTCCACTGATACGCTGTATGTATTTCAAGAATGACCCCAGTAAAAATACATTTGGATCGAAGTCACTTTTAGAATCTATTTTTTCTTCTCTTTAAATTTGATTATTTGCATGAGAAAAATTCATGTATTCATTATTTCCTTTTTAATTTCATTTTTCTAAGAGTGTGAAAGCCAGTTTTTAGACCGTGAGACTTTAAAACTTTTATTAAGGACTATAAAATATAATAATAGGAAAACATCTTTGTGCATGACTGTGTAAAATCGAATCAAAATGCTGTATGAGCATGAATTCAGATTAATTTCTCACTGCTGTCAGCCGCTGTGTTATTGATCAGTTACACACTAAATCAAGCCAAATGCATTTTATTCATCATATGAAATGGATGACGCTGACTGGTTGACATCAGATTTTTTTTAATAAAAAGTTTTAATATGTTTTAATAAAAGCACTTTGAAAGAAGGTCAGCTTGATATATTGGCAGCTATATATCAAAGCAGCGAGCCCGTAGCCGTTCAGGGTCAATGGAGAGCTATAAACTGACATGCTGGGATCAAACTTATCTAAACACTGCACTGCCTGCCGTGACATTTAACAAATGAAATAAACACAGTCTCAAAGGAGACCCGTATCATTTTTTTGCCCCCTCCCTCACTCTCTGTGAAGGTCTACGGATGGAAAATGTGACTCCAACATTGAAGCATGAAGGTAGAGAGCAGAGTCAAACATGTCCCATCTGTCCTCCATACTGAGTTATGGGACAAGGTGCTTTAATAGGACAATATGAGGGACTGGAAATTTACAGTTCTCTGTCTGTCTTTGCTTCCCTCCCTCACTACAGACAGCTTGGCGATGACATGATAGATGTCTGCGTATCAGAGCAAGAGATTTTCCCTCACTAAAGACCCTGACCCCGACTCCTCCTGTATCTCTGCCTTTCTTTCTTCCTCCATTCTTCTCTCAGTTCCTCCGTTTTTCTTCTCTTGTCTGCTCTCCTCTGATTGTGTGTGCTATCTCTTGTTTGCCTCTTCCTTTTCACATTTCTCACACTTCCCCTGCCTCCCTCGAACCTCGCTCTTTCAGGTTGTTTTTTTTTCTGTGTATTTGATAAAGTGAAGTAATGCCAGGTTGACTGAGGTTCAACTAGAAGAACCTTGACCACTGTGACTATTCATTAGCGTGGGCTCTCTCCCTTGGGGTGTCAAAGCTAATGGAAATAATGAAAAGGACCCTCCCCAAGCCAAAAGCACATCTTCCTGTCTTTCGGGTAAAGTGACATAGTGCCCTTCTTAACCCCAGTCTAACCCCCCCGTCTTTACCTCTGCCTCACCTCTGTTGCCTTATTCCCGCACCACAGGGGTCGTTAGTCAAACAAACTGTAGGTTTTCCCAACCTGTGTCACCATCTGCCTTAAAGGAGCATGCTGCATTCTGGAGAGATTTCTCTGTTCAGCTTATCTGTGACGTGATGACAACAGAGGCACCAAAATGACCCATGTCTCTCTTCACACTTCTTTGCTACACAGCTACGTGTTAAGACTGTTAATATACAGTATAAATTGTCAATCAGCACATAGCATTTTCCTGTGAGAAGAACTGGCCTGTTTGCTTGTAATGTTTTTTTATTATTTGGCTTGTGAATTTATTGGTAGTTTTACACTTATCGCGCAACTCTTTTATGGTTTGTTTATATTAAAAACAAAAATAAAAGATATTTTGTGATTGCGTCAAGTACATTTTATTTGTATCACTCAAAATCATTAATATTGTCTGAGAAGGTTTTACAATCTGCACAAAATATGACATCCGACATCCACTGACCCCCAATCTGGATAAGGAAAACTTCTGTAAGGGAAACCTCGAAAAGTGACAGATGATGAATCCCTTTTTCATGATGGACAGACATGCGTGTTATGCATTAGACAGAAGTAGCAGGACTGGAATTGCAATATGGAGAAACAGAATGACAATTTGATGAAGTACGTAACTTTGAATATGAAGTAGAGCTGGACAGATAAATGACCTTGGTCAATTTATCACCGATATTAGCACATTGCATATATAGTATATGCTGTACATTTAGCAATGTCAGTACAGAAATTCTAGATATACAAAAATTGTATCTACCTTACGTAATTAGTTCACCAGAGAGCAATGACAAGTTTCATTTTCAAGGGAGCCCTCAGAACAAACCTGGGTCACAATCCTTAAAAAAACATTTTAGGGATTCATCAGAAATGTAGGTTTATGTTAGAAAAATAAAAGAAAATAGGCTACCAGCTGATATATCATTATGATAGTATCAGTATTAGTCAGTCTATAATGGCAAATAAATGTGAAGTGCACCAAGATGAAGGTCTGAGGGAAAAGTTTAAAAGCGAAGGCATCATCAACTTCTGCCTGAGTGAAAATGTGTAATATTCTTTTACACCAGCTTGTTTCTCCAGTGTGCTCTCTTCAGGGTTTCAGCCGTCAATCATCCGTCTGTTCTGATTTTGGAGGTATAAACGGTCTCCCAGAGGCAGCGGTGGTCCAAAACAATAAATTATTTTTGCATAATGTTATTTCAGTTTGTATTTCACTAAAAGACACAGACTTTATTTTACATTATTTATTGAAACTAGAGCTTATTTTCATTATTGATTAATATAACAATTATTCCCTTGATTAATCGTTTATACTATAAGATGTAATATAGGGAAAAATGAGTTTCCTAGAGCCTAAAGTTACTGACGTCTTTAGATCTTGTTTTGTCCGAGCAACACAATCTTTATTTTCAACGCTGAACGTGTTGCTTTAATAGATTTTCTGACTAATCATTTCAACTCTACATTTCATTATGCTTAAAAATAATGCTGTTTGTATAGTATATGCTGAAGTGAAGGTGTGCAGTAAAGTGCACCAAACAGAACAGGACACGTGGACTGCTACGGTGTCTATATTCTTAACACGTAACAGATCCGGTGATCTGAGAGTTCCTTTCCTGTGTACTTTGAGGTATCCTCAAAGGCCGAACTGATCCACCTTTACTACAATTCACATACATGTGGTACAAAATACACGTAGCATCATGTACAGTATGAAAAAACATGACCGTGCGTGCACGTGTGTTTGATTTTCTCCATCGCTGTTAGCTCCCCCTTCACACCGCAGTCTGTGATCTCCACCGGCTCTCATTGTGTAGTCGACATTTGCTCCTGATCCCAGTTCAGTACAAGCAGGTCTTTGTGTGCGATGGCTCGCCTCTTCTCTCCGCACTCACACCACGTCCAGGAGGATCGTCCATAAATCAGAGCGCAGATGGAGGAGCGTGGCCCTGGGCTTTAGAAGCAGAGTCACTCGTCTCAGAGCTACCAGACATTCATCATGAGCATAGTCCAGCTCAGTCCCACCGCTCTGAGATGCTCTCACAGCTCCCATTGTTTCCAAGAGGAACGGACTGTTTTCTTTTGTTCTTCAGATTTTTATTGAAAAATTATCCTACTGAATAGTACATTTCAATTCAAGACGAAGGTGGCAACAAGTGCGGATTGTAGGCCCCATGGAGATGTATGACCTCGCCTCCCATTAATATGCACCTAATTTAGAACAATATCACCTTTCCTGTCCGATGGCCTCCTGTTGCTTAGGGACCGCGTCAAAGTACAAACACAGCCAGTTCCCTCGAGGGTATAACTTCTTACACATGCTTTTGAGGGGTAATTAGCATTTATTCATTTTCTTAACACAAGTAAGTGAGAGTGCTAATAGTCTCCTATGATCATAAGTAGGGATTCACGATAAAGATTTTTTTTTTCACCAATAATTAAATGGTCGATGCCGATAATACCACTGATAATTTCACATCTTGTATTTTGAAAACGAGTAAATAACTAAGGGTAAGAAAGGCAAAGGTGGATGATTTAATATTCCATAGCTCTGTTCTAACCAAATCTAACATCCAACATCTCTATTCTAACAAAGAGCAGTTCTGACTCATCAAATGTTCGTTTATTTTTTGTAGTTCATCAGAAAACCTCACAGACATACTTTGGCTTTCATAGAACATAAAGCTTATCAAATGTTTTGCTTTAGAAATCAGTAATTATCGTGCATCCCTAGTAATAGGACAAGGCAAATCTTCCTGCCATTGCTCGTATAATATAATCAAAATAGAATTAAACCACAATATTGCCTGATCATGTGTGATACATCTGTGTAGTGTTGTGGAGGTGCCATCGACGGCTGAACTATAAATCAAAACCTACTCTGTTGGTATTTACAGAAGAACTGCTGTTGAACCCTAGCTACATGTATAAATCCAGCGTAACTGAGTGAATGTTATCAGAGCATTCTTTGGGGGAAAAAGGAAAAACATAATCTTCAAAAATGATAATCTCTGTGAGAACCTCTACAGAAGACATTGGTATTTTTAATATCCTCCCCTGATATATCATATTGTAAATGCATATGTGTTAACAATATGTGTCTTCTCTTCTTTAGTTGTCCGAGGAGCTGAAAGGGAAATCAGCCAATGGAGAAATCAAAGAGCTTCTCCAAATACTGGTCAAACCCCACGTGAAGGTGAGTTTGGCTCCTGTTCTTCATTACAGTCTTAATTCATCTTATATTCAGCAAATGCTAAGGAGCTCCAATCAATACCCACAGGTTCTGGTTATCACAAAGAATCAAACACAAACTTTGAACTGTATTCTGACTGATGTCGCTGGCATTTAAGTCATGTGATGACCGTGGTGTACACAAAATAATCTGGCGGTTAGATCCAGGCTGCACTCTTCCTGCAGTTGCTGGCCTCGTTATCCAGACGCAGACAGCTACAAAGTGAATTTACACGTTTTTATTTTCAAATGCATAACTCTGGCCATCCATCAGGCCCTCCAGGTGTCTCAGCCAGACAGAGCTGCCTTCGCGATGGTGGGATAGAAGGAGAGCTTGACGGGCTCCTTTTTTATGCACTGTCGTCATGCTTATTTGGGCTCTGCCAGAAACAACAGCTCAGTATGACGCCCTCCCCCACCACAATACACACACACACACACACACACACACACACACACACACACACACACACACACACACACACACACACACACACACACGGGGCATACAAATATTATATACTCTTAGTGTCAAGGGTTGTGAAAAGACAGCGGTGCTCCCAAAAGGAGCAGGCATTAAGTCATATCAACATGTGGATTTTTGAATGTCTGTGCTAGTGATGTACTAATTAATTTCTTAAATTAAAACAATACAGTTATATACATATAGAAACTGTTACAGTAGATTGTAGATTGAAAATTGGGTCACATCCAATTCAGCTCATCACACTTAACCAGCAATCCCCACATAGACATCTGATGTTGGATACACACTCAAACACACACTCGCACAGCCACTATCCTGAAGACAAACGGTGGAAATCTATCACAGCCTCGCTCTCCTACTTTGCTACGTGGGGACGCTGTGATCTCCTTTGTCTCTGTCAACCCCAAAGTGAAATGCGCCGGCAAACGATCACTGCGCTCGCCATGAAGCATGCCTGTGTCAGAAATCCAGCGTTTATTATTTTAATTACGCTTACAGCGGAGGTATTTGGCGTGGCAAAGGTCAATCCATCAAAACACAGAGTGCGTGAAGGTCATCGATCAGGAGGCTCGGCAACTTCAGCTGATGAGGTGAGGAGAGGTGAAGGTAGGAGACGGGACTGTGGGCCAGGTGTACACACACGCAGTCCAATCTCATATCCTGCCTGTGTAGGTATGCAGTTATAGTCCTAGGTAAAACCACCTATATATCTTTTTAAATGTTTAGGTCTTTAAGGCTTGAGTTAATATTATACATCTTTAGTATTATCAGTCTAAATCATTAAATACAGCTCCACTATAGGCGTGTCCCTTCCCCTCTAAATTTATGTGATTCATGGACTGTGATATTTTTTAATCACATTCATCTGTGGAAATAAATCTAATAAGAATTAATTATTGCCAGTTGGACTTTGGTCTAAACAAACAGAATTTCATTACAATTTCTTGGAGTACTTTATCCTCTGACTTCGCAGAAGCTACGGCTGCCTCTTCAGTCCCAGACTTGACCTCAAAGCCCTTAACCCAATGCCAGCGGACCTTCCAGCTTGAATTTGTGTTCTTGTTTGTGTTCATTGCAGCTTTAAGTACAGCAGTGGCTTTGGACGTAGCCTTGTTGAGATTAAAGAGCAACCGCCTGAAAAAGTGTGCTCTAGGGTGTGTCAAGATACTTTAAATTTCCAACTGCAGAGGGCAGTGAAAATCTCGAATCAATTGTAGATTTATCTTACTTCCCAAATAAAATGATTGGGTCACTGGTGGGAAATTAACAAGAACTGAATTTAAACCTGTAAGAATACATAAAAAAGCTAATAGGAAGATTTCTGGTATAGTTTGCAGGGGAAAAATCTTCTCTGTAACTTCAGCTTTGTCCTCTCAGGAAGACCCTCACCAGTATTTACTCGTTGTCACTCTTTGCTTTCTCTGTTCACTAGTCGCTCTGTTCTCCCAACACCTCCACATGCTGCTCAGCCGACCTCCACTCCAGTGTGGAACGAGATCAGCCAAACAATTCCACACCAAACAATGGAAAATATTCGGCTACTGCTTCCTCCGTTGCTGGCTGACAGCGCTGTCAGAAGCACAGAAGCAGCTGAGCCCGAGGAAGGCGACCTACAGTGCATTGGCATTTTATCAGTGGACTGGGGTTGTGGCTTTGAGATGCCACAAAATGAATGCAACCAAACAGACTGAGAAACTGTTAACGTAAAAGAAAGCTGGACTCGAATGTTTGTCCTTTTGATATCAAAAGGCATCTTATGTGCAGTGTTTTGTCTAAGATTATTTTTTGGCCTTTACTGGATAGGAACAATTGAAGAATGACAGATATTGGGGGAGAGAGAGGGATGACATGCAGCAAATGGCCCTGGGCTGGAATCGAACCAAGGCCGCTGCAGAAGGACTCTGTAATGAGGTCCTTTTAAAATAAATAATTATAATAATTACTTAACAACTTTTTCCAACTTCTGTAAGTTGCCATAAGCTGCAGTATGTCCTTTTTTGAAGTGTCATACTTTGTGTTGTCAAGTTGAGTGAATCATACTTGCACACAGTTTCTCTACCCACTTCATGACCTCTAGTCTTGTGTGCTGCTTCAAGTCCATCACCAGGCTTTGAGCGCCTTGGTTTTAAACCACCGGGCTAAACGCTTCCTGCTTCAGTGCAAACGCTTGGTTAACAATAGATTAGTTGCAACATCTTGGTGTGGAGGGAGGGCTTACTGATGTATGGAAACTCTTGGCGTTTTCCTGTCATTGTGTCTCATACCGTAGGCAGCATGTGGGCTTCAAGAATAAAGTATTAAAACTTTGCTCTCTTTCTGTCTCCATCTGTCCTCCAGGGCACTTGATACCGTACCAGCTAGCCCCAGTGTAAATCACAGGGCCGGGGGTGTAAAACACAAGCAGATGGTTGCTGCCTTTGAATGGCGTCTCTGTGCGATAGTAACTGTATCACTCTTAATTATGGCTGAAATGATCCATTCCTAGGGTGGGGATATAAATCAGGCTCTTTAAAACTCCTTCTCTTCCTTTCTCTTTCTTGCCTTGACTCAAACTTTCTCTTTTACAATTTGCACATGAAAAAACAACTTTCACCCATATTAGCCCCCCTCAGCAAGACTAATATTGACAGTGATGAAAGTGCCAATTATGATGGCCGGCTGTTTCCGCCGGCGTGTATGGAGGTAGAGGTGTGTGTGTGTATACACGCTTGCAGAATTTGTTTGACTCGGGGCGGTGCGCGTTGAGGTTCAAGGCTTAAAGAGGGGTGGGCACGAGTGTCAAATCCCAGCTGGCCTACAGCAGCGTCTCCAAGGCAGAACGCTTGCAGCAGGGTCCTTCCCGCCTGGGGAGAGCTGTTACCCTGCACCGATCCAGCACCGCCAGCTGAAAAACGAGTGGGCCAGTGACAGGACCGGGGGGCTTTAATGAGAGGCCAGTGCCAGGAATGTACGAGCAGGTTTATTTAGTCAAGCTCAGTGATCTGTTTTTCTAGGATCCCTATTATGCCTAATGAACACAAACACACGGACCGAGAAAGGACGGGATGCCTGGAAAACAAGGGTGGTTTCGCTTCCCTTCTTAGTTCTTTCCGTCTCTCACTCTCCTTTCTCCTCTCCTCCTCAGGCCTCAGCCGCAGGGCCTGTACAAGGGTATAACTCTAGATTTGATTAGCCTGCTAATCCACCAACACTGAGGCATAATAAGACCCACTGACTCATATCAACCCAGGAGGAAAGCTTCCATACAGAAACCTGTGTGTGTGTGTGTGTGTGTGTGTGTGTGTGTGTGTGTGTGTGTGTGTGTGTGTGTGTGTGTGTGTGTGTGTGTGTGTGTGTGTGTGTGTGTGTGTGTGTGTGTGTGTGTGTGTGTGTGTGTAAAACATTTGTACCTGTGTAGTTGTACTCACATGTCAATGGTCACCAGCCAGGGCATGTACCATGTGCTATCTATTAACATACAGCTGTTATTGCTACTTCCTAGAAAGTTTTTACAAGGAATTAGCTGTGGCTCTGTTACGGGTTGTTAGGCACAGCCATTGGGAGAATGTGGCGGCGGGGAGCAATGCCAGATTTAAGGAAGTGCCATCGATGAGAGGACACTCACAGGTCAGGATATTAGGCCTGATGGATAGCAGTCAGAGGAAACCGCAACTGGCAGGTTAGTGGAGGAAAGGTTGAGGTGAGCATGAGAAGGAAATGTGCAGGGAGAGACAGAGCACAATAAAGTTGTTCTATGGAAGTTCTGTTAACTTCTTATTTATTTACTTATTATGAACTATTTATTTACTACTACAACAAAGTCTCCCTTTTAATGTGGAGAAAGATGCACATTTCACTTTTCCTGAAGACCAAGTTGACATTTGTTTTTCATTTCTCATTTGTTCAACCAACACTGTTTCACCACTGTTTGTTGAAACTGATTACATATCAATATTTTAAGTAAAACTAACATTACTAATTAACAACATTCTGGATCAAGTAGCTTGAGTCATTTTAAGTGATGCTGACTTAATTTTGTAATTTTTATTTGTACTGTGAAAGCAAAATGCTGAGTAAAACGTTCTTAATCAGGAATCTTAGTGTAAATTAGTTTTGTAAATTACCAGTAAATGCTGCTTAATCAAGAATTTTTTTAACCTTAAAAATGTAGCTTGTGTTACAAATTTTTTTTAGAGTTAAAATAACTTATTGCATTACAATGAACAGTCCATAATCCAACTTTTCTTCAGTTTACTGTGATATAAAACAGAGAAAAGCAGCAAATCCTTTGACAAGCTGGATCCAGCAAATGTAAATGTCATTATCATGTGAATGACAGTTTTGCTTGATTTATGGCACATTTGAACGGTGGAGTTCAAGTTGAGTTGAAGTTTAATTCATTTTTACAGGTTAGAACCAGAAAATGACAAATTGGAAGGAAAAAAAAAATCTGATCCAATCAATTACCAAAATTGTTTTTGTCAATCGACTAATGGACTGATTGACAGGTTGTCTCAGCACTACTCCATTCTTATTCAAGGGACTAATGCAGCACAGCTTCAGCAAAACACTGTAGTCCTGCTTTCTGCGGCAGTGTCCCACCCTGCTGAGAGGCTGATGGACGCCTGGCTGACCCACATGTTGTCGCGACCCAGATCAGGTGCTGTGACTGACAGTCAAATGCTATAAAGAGAGCCACAGCACCACATGTATCCAACCTCAAGCTTAAAAATACTCCTATTTCTCTGGGTTCACTATCACGGCACAGACCGGCTGTTTTTGGAAAGCTCTTGGAATTTGATGCCAAATTAAAAATTGGTTTTCTCACACCCCCTGTGGGAGGAAACTGTGAGAAAGAAGGTAAAAAAAACTGAAAAAGAGATGGTGGCCACAAAGTCAGAAGCATTCTTCTGAAAATGCTCTGTGATATTTTAATCACCTCTGATTGTAGTGTTAGTTCCATTCACTGGCTATAGTTGTTATTAAGTCATGTATGTTCACATGCTACATGCAACATTACTGATCTCATCACAACATTGTCGAAACTGCAACTACGAACTCTCCATCCATGTCTTGACACAGGTCTGGGTTCTCATTCCCATTCAGTTTTCTTTTATTATCCTCATCTGCAAACAGTTTTCGTTTCCAACGTTCCAAGAGAATATTTCAATACCATAATGACAGCATCTCCAGACATACAATACAACAAAAAGTCTGTGTTTATGTACGGTGCAGATGAAAGCCAGGAACACATTGTTAGGCCCGTTCTGAGAAATGAACAAACTGATGCTGGGAACATTTTTCGAAAAATACATGAAAGATAAAACTGAAGAAGAGAGAGAATTAATGGCATTTGAGAGAAGTTTGGAAAACGAGAGAAATTTGGGGAGGAAAGATGCGAACGAGACAAATATGGAATGAAAAGTGTGTTCTTCTGGGAATTTGAGTCAATGTTTTTAATCATTTTATTTGCTCTGCACAGCTCTTGGGCTAGTTTTCAGTTAGAACCCTATATAGGGTTGGTATGAAGATTGGGTATTATCAAAGTCCAGTGGGAGACAAGACATAGGAGCGGTCAGATAATCAGACAGATTGTTACAGCCCATCGTCACCAGAAAAACAGCCATAATGTTAATCTGTGCAGGCAGCCTATTACAACCCATATTTATGTTTATTGTTAGGCGGGGTGAGGATACCAGGGTTTGTATCCCATGTGAAGCCAAAAGTCAGTGTTTACTTAAGTCTTAAGTTGCGTAATGTTACGGCTGTTAGTTATGTCACGTAACTTACGTAACATACTTGTTTTAACCCAAACCATGATACTTTCATTACCTAACCAAACTGCGACCATTTCACAACATTAACCACTTGCGACTTAGTGTCACATGACTTGTGTAACATACTTAAGGTCCAGTACACCTGTCGCTGTACGCTGTAATTTTTATATATGTCATTTTGGGAGTCATTGGCAATCAACCTATTCTGTTGTTTAGTTAGGAAGATGTGTTGGTTCGTTAACAACCCAGCAGTTTAGCCAGATTATCAAAACCACTTTATTTAGAGGTGAAACTGAAAGTGAGCACACCTCTTTGCTCAGGAAAACTGCGTGCACAACTACTGTATGTCTGTCATATTGAACCACAGTGTTCCTTGATGTTTACAATGGACAGTTTTGACTAACCTGTGGCTTTGTTTAAAACCTGTATGATAGTCTGACCACTCACGATTCTTGCCCCAATGGACTTAACTGTGTAGAATGTGATTGTGGGGCAATTTAGGCCTTTATTACAGATTGCGCTCTCAGACAGAGATGGGGAACAACGTGAAACAAAGCACCATGGCCAGACTCAAACCTAGCACGTTGCAATTCATGGTCAGCACCTTTAACCCCTGGCCACTGGGGTGCCCTGTGCCTACCATGTTAATAATGCAGATAGGAGTGATGACTAAAACTACAACAGTAAGACTCAAGTGTAATAAACCAGAATCATCTTTTAAAGGTCCAGTATGCAACATTTAGTAAGACGGAGCAGGTCCTCGGCTACGGAAGCTGCCATGTTGAACCGCCATGTTTTTACAGTAGCCCAGAAGGACAAACCAAACACTGGCTCTGGACAAGCCCTGTTGCGACCACCATAGTTTCTCCTACACAGTTAGAAGAGGGTGACAGGTTTTCAGTTGGTGGTAATCTGCAATCTCACCACTAGATGCCGCTACATGCTACACACTGGACCTTTAAGGTTAGGACTTGGGTAATAAATAGAACCAAGTCCTCACAAGTACACAAGATGTGTGCGCATCTGTGTGTGCATTTGCATGTGTGTTGGTCAGCTTGTCTTTCAGTGGATCCTGGCCACAGAGCTCCAGTTGTGTCTCCTCCTCTCATCTGCTCCCAGTTAGCAACATCTTGAACGCTGTACTGCAGCATGCTCCCATGTCATAAAACACACTGCTGCTCTTCTCACCATATCCCTCTCTCTCTCTCTCTCTCTCTCTCTCTCTCTCTCTCTCTCTCTCTCTCTCTCTCTCTCTACCTTTGTCTGGCACATGGGGTGGAAGATGTTTTTCTCACTTTTCTCTCCCCTCCTCAACCACGGAAAAAGCAGCACGCGTCCAGCTGCATCTTGGTCCGGACATGGAGTCGTTAAATAGTTTGAAAAATGAATGTCTCAATGGCATCATTCTTGTCTGCGTCCCGTCTCTTTTTTATGTCTGCTCGTGAATGTGTGAAATATCTGAGGCGACTGAGAACTTCATTACTTTGAGCCTGCCGCCGAACAGTGCAGAACATCGCTTCTCCAAGTGTTCACCACCTTGCCTTGGAAAGCATTGGTACTGAGGCCAAGGTTGCCCCCCCACCCCCTCCTCTCCACACTCTTTTACTCACAGTCCATGTTGAGCAGTGGTCCAGAGCGGGTGCTGGTTGCCTTTAATCAGAGAGATGTATGGAGGGAGAGCATGGGCCTAATGACAATTAACGCATGTAGCTACAAGTTTTGGCTCTGAATGCTTTTAAATCCATCACCCAGCACTTGAGGTAGACACCCCAATTCATAACCATCCTCCCTGCTGTCTCTGCATTTTCTCTGCCCTGCTCAAAGAAAGAAATGATAGATTGAACTCTTAATAGAATGTATTGCTACACTTTATTTGGCTAATTAGACCGAGGTAAAACTAAGGCCTTTATGGCTTGACTGATAACCCTTGCCTCTTGTTTCTTTCCTCCCATCCATCCCTCTATCCCTCTCCTTCCTCTAGAGCGTTTTGTCGGTCCACGACACTGTTGCCCAGAAGAGTTACGACCCTGAACTACCTCCGCTGCCAGAAGACCTTGACGACGATGAGGATTCAGTGAAAATCATAAGACTGGTCAAGAACAAGGAACCTCTCGTAAGTAAAAGTCAGTCATCTTGGCACATGATTTATTTGATTTGTACAAAGTGGTTTTCAGCAGCTCCCAGACGTTTGAAAGATGGTTATGGGAAGTTAACAGATTGTAAAAAAGGATGTAGGTGTGAAGGCACCAACCATGGGCCACAACATCCCTAAATCAAGTTCCATGTTGTTCCCCATCTCTGTTAGCTTTCAGTGAAGGTATAAAAATACTTAACTTACTCCAACATAAATGTATCATCAAAATCCTGCTATCTAGGGTTTGTTCACTAATCCCTAAATTTCTGAATACCTCTTGTATCAAAGCAGTATCCACACCACGAGTCAAGCCAATACCATACATGCTTTTGAGGTACTTGCCTGTGGGAATCCAACCCACAACCTTGAAGTTGTAAGTACACCAAAACCGACCACAATTACCCTGCTCTTGGCCATGAGTATTTTCAGCCAGTCTAGGCTCGGTGTCTGCGAACGGCTTCCTTTTCTATCCTGGTCAGTGTTGTTCTCTCATTGCAACATGCTTCTCACGTCCGAGCTCTTCAGACATCGTCCCAGACGTCAGAAACCACCCGTCTGTCTCGGCCTTGGGCCCCAACTGTACGGCAGCGACAACTTGGCTGGAATTCTCATTCTCCCTCCACCCCTCGGCACCCTGGGTGCCTGTATGCGTCATCTGATGGCTGCCGTTCTATGCATTCTCCCGGTCAGCTAGTGAGGGAAATTTGAGAATAAGCTTCTGTAACCCCACCAAACCTAATTGGCACTGGCTTTGGTTGCACCACATACCTTTCTTTTTTTTGGTTTGCTGCATAATTATCTTTGTTTTCCATTGAAGTGATTGCTCTCTTTACTGACCTCAGTGTCCTGCAACACATAAACACTCCACTACTCAAGTCCTTGATGGCCCTGTCATCACTTTGTTGTGTGCTGAGGCCCCGCCCATCTTTGATCTGTGCTGGACATGTCCTGGCCACGGCCTGCCTCTATTTTCATTTTGTGGTTTTCGCCCTGACCACCATCTTGGCTCCAGGCCGGCGCACTCCTCTCACCACACCCCGGGGGAAGGAGAACACACCTAAGCCATTTTTGGGATCCTGCCTGTTGCATGTTCTGCGGAGCTGCTGAACGTAATAATGTGGCCTGTAGGAATTCTCGCTCTCTCTCTCTCAACACACATTGTCGCGGGTGCTTCCTGCTCTGGCCTCTCCCGAGTCTGATGTTGGATCACATTCCCTGAAACCATAATGTGATTTACACCCGCCCCGGTCAACTTAATCATCTGGCTGGTGTTATTCCATTACAAGACTCGATTCTTTTTTGTCTCAGTAATTTGGCTCCTGAGAACATCAGAAACACACATTTATGATGTGTGATATTCTGTATTATTGTACAGTATTCAAGGTGTTAATTATGTAGAATATATTTTTGTTGTAATATAGTGGCTCAGTTTTAGTTTATAGGTTGAGGGTGCACACTGGTTATTGTGTGTTTCAAAGTGACTGGATCTAAATAGAGAAGGTGCCGTGCCTCCAGTGTTCTTTAAGGGGTCAATGCTAGGTCAGTTTTATAAATACTCCTCCAATTTAAAAGAGGTTTCATTTAATGTGGCTGTCTGAATACAATATATCATCACTATCACCGCAATATAATTGCAACAGCAGCTTGGTTTTCTACCAGTATATTTAATTATGTTCACTCCCTTCAGACTTTGATCATAACATGCTACAGAATTTGATTTATAGCAGGAACTCAAGTCATGATAACTTCCAATGTGCATTAGACAACACACTTTGTTCATAAATGTAATAGCAACAGCCACTAAATGTGCTAGCAGTGAGAAAACCAAATCAAACAATGTACAATGATACTTACACATAATGGAAATATACATACAACCCACAGCTGTGGAGGAGTTTCTTCCATGTAAGCTGCCCTCTCAGCGCCCATAGGACCCACAGGGCACAACTGCTGCCCATAATCTGCTGTGGCTATAATTTAGGCCTGACCGTGGTATGGACAACAGTAGGATTTTACAGCATGGCATTGTTTTTTCTGTGTATGCATGAAAGAAAACAATGAGTGCTAAAGGGCTGCTATTGTGGCAGCTGGCAGTCTCAGAAATGTAGTGTGTGTTGGTTTATATTTGTTCTGGGGGGCACATAGAGAAGGGCAAGTTGAATCAATTTAGAAAATTAGAACAAGATACTCTACTCTGTCCTCTTTTCGGGCAAGTGCTTGGAATCTCACAGAAAGACTCCCTATGTGGATCCTATTTGCATCCATACAACGTTGGTCAGAACCTATGGCTCGTTTGTCTTGTGTCCACTGAAGAATTAATTATTATATACCGAAAGAGTAAGAGTAAGAGTAAGGCATTCATGTAGTTCCTGTGGAAATGGAAGAAGAGCTGTAGTTATATACACTTATAGGATCTACTACATTCTACTGTGTAGCTAAAGGCCTTTTCACACCAAACGTATGCTCTGCAGTTTGTCATTTTTATGCACATTAACCTTTCACACTTAGTCAGCTGCAAAATCTTTTCAAGTAAGATTGGTAGTAAAACCTGTGAACATACTTTACTTTTTGGACTTTACAGACTTCATGTATCTGTTCTTCTTTTTGCTGCTGCCATTTAGCATCATGTAACTCTCTTTTTCTCCTAATGTACACACCTCTTTTTATAACTCAAGAAAGAAGCATGTGTACCAGCACCACCATCCTCCCCCTTATGCCATATTTTAACTTCTGAACCTGCTCGTCATACAATTCTTAGACAATAAAACTATTATTTGTTTTGGATACTTCACACAATTGGCTGATTTGTAAATGAATACAATTTTTTATTGATCGTTAAAGTTTTTAACACAAGAACAACATAAAAACTGGCTCTGAATAAAAATATAATTCAGTGTTTCAGCACATCAGCTCCTTCCTCTGTAACACAGCATGCACACATAAATGTGCTGACATGGCATTGACATACGTCAGAATTTTGCACTTAGTGTCAAATGGCCCTAATAGCCCTAAAGCACTCATGTTACTTTGTCATATGTAGAGGTGAAGTTTCTCTGATTTTGTGACCCTCTAATTTGACAGTAAATTTTACGGCTCTGCATCTGCCTCTGGCCCCTTGACAACTGCCATCCTGTACATCTTTAAAGGGAAACTGACCCTAATGAACAGTTAGATCGTACATTAAGGAAACAGCCAGCGGGTCAGATGCTCACGGTGAAGTCACAGCCATTCCACTAACCAATAAAAAACCCTCTAATTGTGCAGGCTCCTCATTCACTGCCGCACCGAATTGATTTGGATGTGCCCTTTAACTCGCAATTTCATATAATCAGCCTGATATTCTCAAACTTGACATCATAACAGCGTGGCTGTACAATATCTAATTTCCTTTCCGTCTCCTCTTACTTTACTCTCTTTTATTTTCTCGTTCACTTTTTCTCTGTGTGCCTTTGTCTCATTCTATAGTGCTGGACGTTGTAGGGACTGGGCTGTAGTTAACACACATTCCCCTTTCCTTGTGACTCATCCATTAAGTTAATTGTGATTAGTTGAGTGGATTGTATTCAGTAGCTGTGATTAATTGCTATCATTTCTCAGAGCGTGACTTCATGCCACATTTCAGTGAAACTGTAAAAACTCTATCTTCCAGGACAACCTCTCTCTTCTTCTTCCCCCTTTTTCTGTTGTACTCCCTGCTCTCCCGCTGCTTTCCCAATCCAGCTGATTTATTAGCTCAAGGGTCGGACAATGAAATAATTGGGTTCGGAGATCGGCATAAACATGTGTGCGCATACAGAAACATCACCTCAGCCGTGTCTTTTTTTATTGAAAGAATGTGTTATTTTGGATAGGGTTTCAGAACAGTTTTGGTGGGGGTCTAAATTTGAGCGTTAAGGGGGTCACGTCAGGGCTGAGTATGTGGCGGTGTAGCTGATATACGGGTGAAGTTTGCCTCCGGTGATAAAGGGCTTGAGTGCAGACTGACTAATAGGAGAACTGTAGACAAAAAGTTGGAGGAAACCTGAATGCACTGGTGTTACACAACTCACAATCCCCTGCCAAAAAAAAAGGCTTGGAGAAGCGAAAGAGGCCTAAAACATGGGCTGCAAAAAAGTTATATAGTGTTACAGCTTTCATTTTTGTTAATGAAACATTTAATCACCAAATTCTCTAAACTTAAGTGTCATTTTCCTGGTACTAGTGTAGAAATATGGCATATTTTGACCATTTGTAATAATCATTGTATGAATTACTGGTTTCAAGGAAATTGACATTTCCTTGCTGTGGCTCCTCAAAGCAACGAAATCCCAAAGCATTCTGGAAAATCCAAATCCCAACACACACAAAACGCGTTAAGTAGCAAAAGACGACTTTGAAACGCCCACAGAAGGGTACACCACAGCTGCTCGGGGTGACCATCGCTATGATGTGAGAACATTAGAGGCTGACAAGCCTGCTGCGGCCGGCTCTGTTCCTCTCATTTGGATGTTCTCGAAGCCCAGCAACGCAGATGTAAATAGCAGACCTGGAGATGCTCGCCGCGTATGCCCCGCTGTTTTCGCATTCGTTTTATACATCACTTGTCGGCTCGCTCAGTGCCACTCAGTCTGTGCCGGCTCTCGACGCTGTCAGAGTGCCGTACATTCACTTCTCCCCACTCAGTTCATCTTCAGTCGTAGTCCAGCTAGCACGCCATCTTTCTCTTTCTCATAGTCTCTCTTGCTTCCACTCTCTAATTCATTTCTTTCTTCTGCTTTTGCAATCAGGCCCATTGATCTGGTCATTCATGTGTATTTACATTTTTGGTAACACATTTTTAAGGCATGTAAAGGCATTAAAGGCTTTTAAGAGGTTACGACATAATTATACAGCATTTCACTGTCCTTCAGGTAAAGAGCTATACCTTCTCTGGTTCACACTGTTGTTCAGGACTGTAGATTTTTTGCACCTTTCTACATTCCTGTTGTACACATCTGCAA